ACTGAAGATACATGTGGTTTCGAGTGGCATGTTGAAGCTGTGGTGAGACACGTCAAAGCCTGCAAACTTCCACAGCTCTGGATCTGTGGCTCCAGGATATGCCAACCTCGGCGGCAAACCATCACAAGAGCCACAATCACGAGGCTGTCTATCTTCGGAGGACAGTCGCACTTCTCACCAACCAGGATGGCTACAGAAACCCGAACTGACTATGGTCGCAGGTGACCGCTCCATCGATACGCCACCTCAGCCCCGAGCAAGAGTCGAAGATCATACTCTTGCGCCCCTCCCAAGGGGGCCCTTCGAACAAGCTGCTCTGCCAAAGCGAAATCGCGCACCTGCACACAACGGCTTTGGACTGTTCCGTCCCTCTCTGACTCCCGCTCGCTCTGTTTCGCTCTGTTCTGTTCTGTTCTCCGGGGTACGAGGAGCGGTTAAGGCTCCCCGCGCCGCAAGGCGCGCCCCTGTGTAAGAGCCGTTGGGGGCCAGGAGAAAGACATGGCTGTTTCGCTCTCTTTCTCCATCTCTTTGCCTTGCTTTGCTCCCTCTCTCTCTCCCATCCCCCCCCTCTCCCGGAGACCCTCAGGCCTTCGGCCCGCCCGTCCACCCTCTGTGCGTTGAAGTGCGGAGTTGAGAGCCCCCACCCTCTACGCCCAACACATCGCGCCCGCGCTGGCCCCATCTCCCCGCCCTTAGGCACTCATCCCTCGGGACTCTCAGGTTGCACGAGGCTTCGTGATCCCCCAATGCACACCTCAGAAACGGCAGCTTCCAACGAACACTGTCGTCCCCCGCTCGGCACTTGCTCATGTTGGAACAACGATATTTTTCTTTCCCCCACTTCCTCTCTGCCTCTTTCTTTCACCAGGGCTAGGGGTGGGGGAGCAAGCCCCCCTCACCCGCGCGCGTTAAGCGCCCCCGTCATGTGGGGAGCGAATGGTGAAATACGCATGCGAAAAAGAGGCATAGGCGGCTCGCAACAGAAAGATGCGCCAAAGTAGATATTACCGAAGAGCGATAAACAATAAGTGCAGCAACAGGGGAAGGCCTCGGCCACCTCTTCAACTCAGCATGGCTTGTCTACTGTTACAGTGCCGCGCCTTTCCTTCGAAGGAACTGCAATTACGGGTAGGCGAAAGCTCCCCGGGCAGGGCAGTGTATAGGAATAAAAAGAAACCCCGTACTGAAGGAAAGGGGGAAAGTCTCCTAAAGGCACATGTGGTGCAGCCTGCTACAGTGACACGTCAAAGTCCAGGCAGAAATCAATGGAACCAAGGAAGGAACTCCCTACGACATGTCACTGCTTTGAAGGCGGGCGCTCTGAATTTGGCATTCTACTTTAGCAAGCGCAATAACCCCCAAATCAGCAGAACCCCCACGAACCTACTGAAGACAATCGAACCTGAACAGAAGTCATAAAGAAAAGCCCTAAGGTCGTTTCCCCTACGAATGAGGAAACGTTCCCTGACAGCTTGTTAAGTTGACGGCTGCAGTTGTTGCACCGCGGTAGCCTGAAGATCCAGCAACAAAGGAAAACGCAAGACATACATAGTCTCGAGGACAAGAAAAATCCCCGGTGCTCAACTGTGACGTACAACGTAAAATGCAGCTGCAAGACTCATGGGCTTCACTCAGTAGGGCTCAGCAATCGTCTTGCGCAGAAGGAGCGTGGCAAAGATTGGGTCGGGTGAACAGGTGCGCCCCGGACTCCCCGAAGTAGAGCTTACTCATTGTCATCGGATGAGTAAGCGGTGTCCATGGCTGCATGTAGGCGTCGTCTGCTCTCTGCCTCTCTCGGTCTCTCTGTCCCTCTCGCTCTGTCTACCGCTCCCTGTCTGCCTCTCTCATTCTCTCTCTTTCGCTGGCTCTCTCTCTCTCTCTCTCTCACCCCTGAACCCGCTTCAGGCTATGACTAGCGCGATTCTTGGCGAAGCTGTTCCTGTTTGAAAAAATGGCGATGATTAACCGAAGCAAGACCTGCAAGGCGTGCACGTGCACTGCACGTGTCTCTTTCGCGCCGGACATCTGTATCCGTGTGCAGAGTATAACAAGCAGCCACGGCAAATGATGGCTTTGCAAGGCCGGTAGGTTCGACCGCTAATTCAAATTGCGCCATGTCAAGCTGGCTTGGTGCCACAACACCTCCAGCGATACCACAAAAACCAAAAGCAAAACGCGTAATAACCTGCTTCTGCTTTGGAGGAACAGCGCAGCAACTTCCAATGCCACAGGTGGACATCGCAGCCCATCAGGCGATTGCACAGAACCAAAGGCTGAAACGCACGTGACCGGGGCTCAGGGAGCATTTTAGCAGACGGGGCCTACGTGGAGTGAGACTGGAGGCCTTGAGTGGTTGGAGTTTTCGGGTTGAGGGCTTCAGGGCACTGAGTGTCATATAAGGGCCTCAATCATTTCATTACAACAACTATAGTCCTTAGGGTCCCTTCTTGTAGCTTCAGTTCAGAAGCCGCAACTCCCCACTTTAATTCTTTTGGGGCGGCTACATTCGAGTTTAGGGTCGATGCTTCCCGAAGCCCCGAACCAGCTGGGGCCCCCATTGGCACATCCCCTCGCATTGGGAAGGGCACCCGGCTTGAAGGGCCCCTTTCACCTGAAACCTCCGATGTTGTCTCCCTTTTGAAAGCCTCTTCTTGGGGTTTTGGCGTCTGAAAACCCTTAACCTCAGCATGCCCAAATCCTGACTCCAAAGCGTTACCTTCGAAGCGATACAGCGCAACCGCAATTGAATTGGCCCGACACGCACTAGCACCACGTGAAGACTACAGGACGAGTGGCTTCACGCATACGCAGGGTGATGCTAGATATCACAAGTAGTCTTCTGCAGCAACCTCCACATGGCATGATGATAGTAGACCCATGGTCAGTACTGCTATACTGACAGCTTCGGTAGGTGGACACGCCCAGGATCATGGATGTCTGCCGGACAGCGGCTCGAACAGCAAAAATTCGGATCTTGCGGTCAGGGGTTGTGTTTAGGGCCGTCAGGGTTCAGGGTGGAGTCAAGGGCAACACCAAAGCCGCCGTCTCGTAGCATACATATGTACACTGTGGGGGCTCGTCACCAACTCACTCCGAGCCATGCCCAGTCACCGGCTTAGTAACCTGCAAGGCATGGCAAACAAAGAAAACCGCGCCGAAGACTTGGCCAGGCAGGCAGTGGAATGGGTGCTGCCACGACACTGTCTGACTCAATGTAGCGAAAGTCGTGGCGACCTCAACAACGTTCATAAAATCCCTCTGTCGGACGTGCTGCCTGTCCCTAGATGAAAGCCAACATGTTCGATGGAGATCAAGTCCCACGGAGTGCAACATCCCTCGTGCGAAAAAATGACAAAACAGCAGCACTCGGGCCATGAGTGGAAGAGCTTGTAACGAAGACTCAGCGGACAGCTCCTCTTCTCACAGCCCTGACAACTTCCCTCACGACAACGCCCGCCACTCCTGGGTTTGTGTCTCACCTTGACCTGAACATGCGCCGATGCATCATGCACCGGCACTGAGATTTCCATCCTCCGGACCTGCAATCCTACTGAATGCTATTGGCCTTGTCGCCCCGGGCAACGGAAGCTTTTTGCCGACGGTCCAGCAAGCTACTACGCATCCAGTCGGGCATGGAAGGCGCCGATCCCGCCAACGTCGCAACGAGCACCAGTCCTGCAACAAACGGCTTCTCACATCCTCTTCGGGTCAAGGACTGCGGGTTTGTATGAGGCGTTGACGGCTAAGTTATTCGACGCTTCTCCGCATGTCGGAAGGACGTCGGTGGGGGACTCTACTCCACTTCGTCTCCAGAATGAGCCAAAGTTCGTGCAGGCCTTCAGGGAGAGCTGGGGTTGCGCTACATGCTCTCTTTCAGCATCCTCAGGTGAAGAAAGGCGAACACAAGAGCTTGGAAGGAGTAATCAGCGTAGCTCTCCTCCATGTAGCTTGACATCTCCCGGCACGACATGGCCCGGAAGGCAGCCCAGGAATAAGCATGAACACAAGCTCGGCTGGTTGACGGTCGTTGCCGCGACTGATCGGGAAGAACTACTGCATTGGAATTCCCGAACGAGAAAACCGCCAGCCCGGGCTCTTGGGCCCTTTATGCTGATCACAGGGCTTGCGGCCCTGCAAACCGAAATGCAGAGCTACATGTTTGCGGTGCAGCAACGTAACGATGCTTCCACAACGCGAGCGTTCTTCTCAGCACCTGTTGTTCTCATAGTCTGATGAGCTCCGCTGATGCAGTATCGTCCTGGCCAGCACCTAAGGACCTACCAGTTGAGTCCTGCTTTGCATTTTCTTCATCCTGAGCTCGGATCTGGAGTGACACAGCCTTGGCAGCACAAGGTCTTCGAGCCACGGCTACTGGCTGCTTGGAGTCAAGTCGGAAACAGTTCCGGTGAGACAGCGGAGTTTCCACCTATCGATCGGATGCTTTCATCACGAATTGCAGACTTTGCAAGGTGTTGCCTTTCATTTTCTGTTCTCCGACCCCACTGCTTTCGCAGTCGGGGGGAAAAGGGGAACTGTTGAGCTGCTGTCTCGCGACTATGGATCTCTGTCGATCAGAGCTGTGGCAGCTTTGGCTTCAGGGTTTACGGTTTCGGGGTTGAGGATATTCATGCGAACTTCTGAAGCATTTACGCAGCGAGACCACACGGAATACATGTAACACTAATCAATACAGCCAAAACAGTGGCTGTCGGAGCCCCCGGCTGATTCTCAGCAGGGTGTGCTCAACATGTGGAAGAAAACTTAATTCTCGTTTTTCAAAAGCTGCTTGGCAACAGACCTGGCGACCGAGTCCTTCTATTGCTGCCCAGAAATGAAGTGAGTGACTACTGGGACTTTGTACCTCTAGAGGTTCGCAAGTTCAGTCCGGGCAGAACGCCCTGGCTTCCCTGGCAAAGTCCTGGTCAGATCCGGAGAGGACGTGGCATGCAAACATCCACAGGCTTCCCAGATTCCCAGCATGCTGCGGCCTCTGCATTCATTTACGCTGATTGAGATCGCCCGGTCTTGGTGGCGAGCTTCTGGTCCTGTTCAGCCCCTCGGGTCTACAGATGCCCAGATGCACTCCTCAGTGTTCCCTAAGTACCGCAAGCTACCAAGAGTGCTCCCTTGCAGCCCGACACCCCAACTGCCACGAGCTCTCCTCCGACAGGAGGTGGAGCTCCAAGTTTGCGACCCCCTTCTCGAGTCGGCGGCTGCGGAGAAGAAGCTGACCGATGTCGAGACTCTTAGCCGCCCCTTTGAAGCGGGTAATGCCCTCAAGGAATTCCTCAACCTTAGTTCAGGGTTTAGGGAAGCCGGCCTTCCTGAATGTTTCTCTGTGCAGGATTGACTGGAACAGATAACGAGATGCCTGGGGGTTAGATTCCTTCCACCTCGTCGGATCAGGCTTAGGCAAAGTCACAGAGATCTCGCCATCGCCTGTGTCGTCCAAGAGATCGAAGAGAGTTTTCAGGTCCCCCGCAGCAATTTCCAGCTTGTCCAGGAGGAACTTCAGCTTTTTATCCTGGGAAAACAGAACGGAGCCCTGCTTGGCTAAGGGGCCACTGGGGCACCTAGAATCTTCTCCGACAGGAGCAGGGGGCAAAGGCATAGCCTGGGGAAGTGACCGGTAAAAGTCTGGGCCTAGGCACGGGAAGTCTATGCGGGTGGATAGCCTATGGAGCATCCGAACTCGAAGCACAGACTGCATCACTTTAGTATCCGGATCTTCAGCTCGCATCTCCTTCATTCTGAAAATTGGATACTGCCAAACGAGCTCCGTCTTCGCCTTCGAGGTTGTCTTGGCAGTAGCGGCGGCGGTGGTGGTGGCGTTTGTAGCGTCTGGTGAAGGTGGTGGCGGCGGCGGTGGTGAGCAATTTAGCAGCAGGACTATGAACACCAGGAGTAACAACTGCGAACGTATTGATCTTCGCATGAACAATCTGAAGAACAAAAACACATGGTAGTATCAACAACAAGACAAAACCTTGAAAGGACGACACACAACGTTCGTGGCATGTCTTGCTGCAGCCCCGCAGGCTTCAAGGAGGACTTCGAACTCCGCCCACGAAAGAAGTCCATCTCCAGATGTATCCAAAGTATGGAAGATTCTCCCCACGTTCTTCAAGTACTTTTCTTCGGCCTTTTGCTTTTCCAGAAGCAAGACCTCTTCGTCACCTTTTGCAACTTGCATTGTTTGCTGCACGAAAACGGCATTGACGACCTCGGTTGAACTGAACAGTCTCTGCGGAGCGCAACCAGTTGCCAGGAACGGAGCTGCGCAAGGTTGAGACGACATCAGGCAAGATGCATTGATAACGGCGAAACCGATGCCGCATCGGTAGATGAGGAAGAGAAGCCTGAGCTTTGAGCTGCTGGTCGTACATAGTCTTGAAATGATGGGCACCTTTTGTGTTACTAGCAAGATTCGGGGTTGGGCCCGCTCCTTTCGGCACTAATGACAGTATTCTGAATCATCAACCCTGACAAAGGAACCTTCAAGCAAGCCCGACTTCTCTGAGTAGCGAGTACCACTCGGAGATGTTCTCGACCAGGACACGACAAGCTGGAGCCCAATTTGCGAAGAACACCTCCATTTTTTGGCCCATCGTCAGCTTGCTTTTGTTCTTTGGTTTAGGGCAACTTGACAAAGCGAGTTTTCCGACCTTGAAAGGGGCCCCAATACAGAACAACCACGGGCAATACTCCACCACGATTCGCAGCTTAGGGCGTGAGGTTTAGGCTTTGGGGAGGCTTTGAATTGGTCGCAAGCTTTGACCTCACAGCAACTGCCGTCCCGTGGGTGTTGCAAGAAGCACTAGCATTGTTCGTTCGATTGCGTCGCTCAGCTCGAACTCATGCATCACACCTTTAGAGAATCAGAACTGCCTTCCCGTACAATGCCGAACTACTGCACAACAGAGGCTGCTGTGCGGAATCCACAGTTTGCTCAACATGCCCTCGATGTTCACAGGGCTCTTGCCTCGAAGAGAGTGAGCACTGCAATGGTGAAGGTGCCTGTACTAGAGAAGCTGCCATGTTCCGAGTGGGAGACCTTCTTTGAGGCCCCGTGCCCCTTTGGGTTTCATGCTTTCACGCGGGATTAGAGTTTCGGGCTCATGCACCAGTATGACTTCTTCTTGTTTGGTGTAGCATGATCATCGCATTTCGCGGCTTTCCTCGTGACGTATCGTGTGATATGGCTACCATCAATGGCTGCATTCACTGAGCTCTACTACACACATCGAGACTACTTATACTCGCACAACCCATCATGTTGCTAATACTCATATGCATCTGCTGGATAATGGCGTCAAACGCATGTTTAAAAAAGGCTGCTGTTACGAGTCATTCTGCTAAGATTGTCGGTCGTCCATTTGCTTGCCGTATCAATGCTGGTGAACAACCAGAGGGTTCTGCCTAGATAGCCACGAAGGAATCAATTGTCATCACGACTTCTGGTACTGCTGCTCCAAGACCGATCTTGTCAAGTACTACCTTTATCATTACTCTGGCTAGTCTTGGCATTACCACTAATTACGATGCGATTGTAATTCATGGTTTTATGCGAACTGCTGACACGAACACCACGGCCGCAAAGACTGCAACAGACACCATGACGACCAGTGCGATGAGTGCGCCTACCTCTGATTGTTGTCACCGCCGTGACTGCTCATCTTACGAGTATTCTCATATTGGCGATCATTTTCCGGGCAGCTGAGTTGAGGCCAAGCTGCCGTAGTACTTGTACACTGCTTGGCGTCGCTCTTCAGGCTCGTTGGCATCCTCCAGGTAGGGCGGCGTGAGGCTTGGAGATGATTCATGAGATTGGGTGTGGCGAGTGATTGCGTGGTTTCGCTCGGCTTCGGGGCTTTAGGGCTTCAGGGCTTCGGGTTCCGGCCATCCTCCAGGTAAGGCCGCACCATGAAACAGACAATCATGGCTGCGATGAGCTGGATCACCAAGAGGAAGAGCAGAGACCTCAGGCAGTGCTCCCAGAGACTCAGCAAGAGCAGATTCACACGGCATCTCACTTTGGATTCACGAACATCCAGCATTACCTTGCGCATCCTGAGATATGGGAATCATGGTATGGATTATTCCGAATATTGGATGGCATGATGCGTCCATCACAAACACCTTTGGCCTCAGGAGCCCCTTGGAAGGGGAAGTCTATAATAGAGTATTACTAGGAGCAGCAGTAGTAGTAGTAGTAGTAGTAGCAGTAGCAGCAATATTATATGATAGCATACATTTAGTATTTACAAAGCCATCTTGAAAGCCAGCTCCTGGCACGGCACTTCAGCCACCGGGCCTGGGAATCCTAAGCCATCACCACAGTCGTAATAATGTTAACAATAAGAAGAAGAGCATTACTAGTTTCAATATTAACCATAAAAATAATAATAACAACAACAACAACAAAGATAATGAACATGAGAATATTAATGACAATGATAATATTAATACGCCCTGAAGTCACGAAACAAGAGCCGAACAACGCGAAGACCGAGCTCGCCCCTTTGCAGAGTCCAAAACAAAAGGGCTCAGAAACCACGGGTTCTCATCAGTGTCCGGCACGTGGCGGGCATCGTGTAGAAGTTGTTTTGCAGTTGTTGTTTACCCAAAGCTTTTGGTTTAGGGGCTTTGTGTGTTGCAACCCAGGGTCCTCTCTTGGAAGTCATTGTGGATAAGGGCTCCAATTTGATTTTCGGGGCCAACAGGGCACCCTGATCATAGAATTCTACCCGCCTGCAGGGAATCCGACACAGTTCAATTGACGGCACACCCTGCTGTAATGCATGTTTCGAGATCCTGAACTTCTGAAAAACCCGTATAGCATGGAAACAGACCTCCAAAGCAGGCAAACTCCAAACACGAAAGTAAATAAGAAGTAAAGCTTGAGAGCCGGAGAGTCTCTTCGCTAAGGCAAGGAGCCATACATAATAACGACAACAACAACAACAACAACAACAACAGTAATTATAGCAATAACAGTCATGAACATATTGATAAAACAATAGTGATACTGGTAACACTAAAAGCAGAAGACAAAAGTAGTATTAACAAAGTGATAATAAGCGTACTAAGAGTTATAATGATAATAACAATCATAATCGCAAAACTAATAACTAGTAATGTTAGTAAAAGTAGTAAAAACCACAATAACAGTTGCATTGATAATGATGGTAGAGTCAATAAACGTAACTAAAACAATAATAGCAATTTTAATAGTAGCAACAGAAGTAGTCATACTAACACTACTCATGAGCCCTAAAGGGGGCGAAACACAGAAGCCGGCAAGGAGCCATACAAGGGTGAGTCCGCTGGAGCTCATGCCTTGCTACGGCAAAGCTTTCGGGTTCCGGGTCCAGGGCTGAGGGCCTCTAGGGATTATGAAGATGATTACTATTGTTGTGAGTACTTTTATTAAGTTTTTATTATCATTAGTATCTACTATGATTATTAGTAGTATTCTCATGACTAGTATGTATGGGTTTAAGAAGCTTTTGGGTGTCGGGTTGAAGGTTGCTGTTGTAAGCGGGGGTGGGGAGCTGAGGTCTTCCCAAGCTGAATCATTTTAGGTTTTTGGGGTTCAGGGGCTTAGCATGTCTTGGGGTCACGAACTTAGCGCGCATGCCTTTGGCTTCATGCAGCTTCAGGTATGGCATTTAGGGTGTCGATATGGGGCTTCAGATGTAGACAATGAGGCTGACGCGGGCTCTCAGGTTCCGAAAACAGTAGCAGTGAGAGAAAAGCATCAGAGCACACTCTAGCAAGTGCCCCTGCCTCGAATCGTCCTAAACACCCTTTAGTAACCTCATAGCAACCCGCAAAATGCAACTTATGGCAAGCCTTGTAGTACCCCTCGTGCAAGTATAACTGTTAACCTACAGTCACCCTTGAAGCCCACAAGACTCTGATGGAGGCGAGACTCATCTGGCGAGCAGGCTCAGCGAGTCCAGCATGCCAGAAACCTTCAACACGCGGATCGTCCTCTCAGCTTCACAGGGTCTGGGGACAAGGCGCTGCATCATGCTTTAAGGTTCTCGGATTGAGGGCATGTTGTCTCGGGTTCAAGTCTAACGGTTCATATTGAGGAATCGCATTGGGATGTCGATTATAATCCTAGTCTGAACTTCCGAAGTGTCTCCTGAACAGCTTCGCGAGACGGCAAAGACGCAAGAGAGTGGGATCCACCGGCAAGTTCCACGAGAAGAGCTCTACCAAAGAGGCCAAGAGAGCGATAAAATCGATGACGTTGAAGGCAGTCTTGAAGAATGCCGCCCTCAGGAAAAGGAACCTCGAATTTCTGCACATTTAGGACTTAGCCTTTACACCGCCGAGTGTAGGGCTTAGAGTTTGGTCTAGGTCGAGAAATGAGGCTTCGAGCTCTGGGTGTACATCTTAAGGAACATTTTATGGCTGAGAACTCACAGTCGATGATGGGGCCTAGCGTCCAGACGGTTCCTAGGGTCCCAGGGCCAAGCCAACAAACAGAAATTCGACGTAGGTACATGATGCCCACAGTGATTTTGGGATCATCACGAAGCAGGTTTAACAATCATTCGGGCCCTGTTTTGCTGTTTCACTCGACGGCACCAGGTGTAAGATAAGGATGCAATCAGTATTGTCGGAGCAAGGGCTGCCCCACAGCAGTGTCGGACTTGTTCACAAGTTTGCTGAGATTTCTGGATGAGCGTCTGTGTGGTTTTCACATCTTGCTGTGTCTGAAAATGGGCATCTGCCATTTTGAAACTGGCTAGCCGCCTGTGTTCAGGCTTCTACATGCATGGATACATGCCTGGCTTTGCTTTGACGGTGTATGCATGTACCGGTCGCGATCCTATCGGATGTTGACATGACCCAAGTCCTAGACCCGAAACTCCAGAAGGGTGACGACTGTGACGAGCAGGCGTCAGCAGTCAACAAGCCCCAATGCGAGCTGGCCCTGAAAAACCACACCAGGACTTGTATCATGCGATTGGGGCACCTGAGCAAGATCTCCGATGTGAAGAATACGAGGAAAATTGTGCGCATGACCTGAGAAAGCTTAAGATGGAGCTTCCCGAAGGTAGTTGCGGGCATGCAGGTCTACCATTTTGTGTAATCCGAATCAAATATCTACACTTCTAGTGATGGCAAGACTATGCGAGGTTTTGGCCGTTAGTAGCAGTAGCAGTGGTAGTAGTCGTCGTCGTCGTGGTGGTAGTGGTGGTAGTAGTAGTAGTAGTAGTAGTAGTAGTAGTAGAAGTAGTAGTAGAAGCAGTAGTCGTGGTGGTAGTAGTAGTAGTAGCAGTAGCACTAGTAGTAGTAGTAGTAGTAGTAGTAGTCGTCGTGGTGGTGGTGGTGGTGGTGGTGGTGGTGGCAGTAGTAGTAGTGGTAGTGGTAGTGGTGGTAGTGGCAGTGGTAGTCGCAATAGCAGCAGCAGTAGCCGTAGCAGCAGCAGTGGCAGTAGCGGTAGCCGCAACATCAGCAGCAGCAGCAGCAGCCGCAGCAGCAAGCAGCAGAAGCAGAGGCAGCAGCAGCAGCAGGAGTAGTAGTAGAAGTAGTAGTAGTAGTAGTACTACTACTACTACTACTACTACTACTACTACTACTACTCCTGCTGCGGCTGCTGCT